CCTTGAGAGTTGAAGAGTGTAATTACACCCCTCCAATTACACTCAATTCCATGTTGACCAAGTAAATTCATTTCCAAGGTGTCTTTCCAAACAGGCTATTAGTGTTTGGCTAAGCTTTTAAAAAGTATTTCTAAGTGTATTTTTCTCAAAAAAGTGCCTCTGGAAAGAAGTTACTTTTTTCTGTTTCTGCTTCTCCTTAAATCACTTTTTTTTCTTCTAAAAACTTGGTCAAACGCTTCAACTTTGGGAAAAAAAAAACACTTTAAAAAGAAAGAAAGAAAAACACTCTTTTTTATTAAAAAAAAGTACTTTTAGCTTGGATAAGCTTGGGCAAAACGGGCTATTAGTCTTAATAAGCCTGTGTTGGTCAAGGGAAACCAATGTGAAAATTCAAAACAAACCCCAACCAACGGTTGCCATTTTCGTCTAATATTTACATCAAATAACATTAACAACCCATATTTATTTTGATTATATGACAAATTGAGGTCACAATATATTTAACTAACCATATTTAAGTGATAAATCTTCTATAAAGAATCTTCCTTTTATCTCGGCGAAAGGCCTGATTTGTGCTTATTATCAATCCTTGTCAATTTGTAGTGTTTGTGCTTATTATCAATCCTTGTCAATTTGTAGTGTAATAGCCTCACCAGCTGGATGAGTAGAGTCTGTGCTTTGGTGGGCACCGGGCATCCAATAAGAAGAAGTAGCTTCGCCGTACGGTTAAATATAATGTTTTTGTAGGTTTAGTCTAAAATCTAAATACCAATTGAAAGTATACTTTTTACTCATATGACCTTGGCATTCTGTCTTCCTATTGTCTTCAAAAGTTTTTTTTTCCTTTTTCCTTTTCGAATATTCAACCAAAACTTTTCTTCAGACAAAACTCTTTCTTCTAAAAACCAATTTTAAATACGCAAATTGTTTTACAAAAATTAGACCAAAAACCAAAATCCGAATGCCACCTAAATCTATAGGACTATGCGTCACCTACAAGACCAAACTTGGTAGGGAGATTAGAGGATGGTCCCAAAGAGTGTTTGTACCCCCACTGCAAACCCTAGCTAAGCCACGTTTTTAGAAATATTTATATTATCCTTGTATTATAATCGGCTCGAACAAGTTATTTACTTTATTTTTTGAGTTATCAGATTAAACTTATCATAAACGGATACCTTTAGTTGTCGGTCACTTTAATCCAATGATATAAAATACATTAGCAAGTAAAAGGGCAAAGGAGTTTTATTGAGATACTTGAAAATACTCAAATGTACTAATAATCAAGGTGCGCACATGTTTACCATCGCCAGATTTTCCAATTACTTTTTAGATTAAGCTTCCTTTTCATATTTTAGTTCAGGTCTTCACACTCAAAATGACTACTTGTCTTCAGATCCTAATTCGAGTAGTTTCCAACATATTATTATTCTTATATATCATTGTCAAAATGATGTTAGCTACTAATTGTAGGAAAAAGATAAACTAAATTTGTTTGTAATCTGCTGCAACTTTAATCACCAAGTATTAATCATGATTTATAAAATAAAGTTGATGTCACATGACCAGGAGGTCACGGATTCTAACCGTGAAAACAACCTCTTGCAAAAAAACAGGGTAAAATTGCATACGATAGATCCTTGTGGTCCGGCCCTTCCCCAGACCCCGCGCATAGCGGGAGCTTAGTGCACCATGATTTATAAAATAAACAGCCAGCAATATAATAGTGTTTGATCACTGCTCCATCTGATGCAGCATCAAACCTCCATATACTTTTGGATAGAAACATAATTATACACCTATTCTTAGTTCTAATTTCAAAATGCTACACCTTTTCTTGATTATGATTTCAAAATGCTACAACTGAAAAAAAAAAGAGAAAAAGTTGATCTCCATTGCCAAATAGGAGTAACAAAGAATGCATCAAACATTCAGTGGCTTCCCTTCAAGAACCAGACATGTAGGTATATCTAGTCTGGGCTCCAATAAGTAGTTCAATAAATTTTTCTACACATCAAAGAAAAAAAATTGTTAGGAAGGATCATGTGAAAATTTAAATCAACAATGTTAAATGGAGCAACTCTTGAAACTAGGTACAAAAGTGCGTTAAAAATACCTGCGAAAAATCCAACTACAGGAACAGGTTCTACAATTTTTTGAGTGTTTTCAAGTCTTCGCCTGAAATCATTTTAAGGCATTAGCATTGCTTTAATTTCTGTTAGTTCACTTTCCTGCGTTTCTTATATGAAGCACCTAACAAGAAATGACAGAAAAAGAGTTTCTTTACCTGGTGTATTCGGAGAAAAATGGATCTCGCATGAGGTAAAGCACCCAAAGCAGCTTCCTTCTTTTTAACTGCAGTTTTTGGAGTAAAACATAGTATCATTTACAGGTGAAGTAAAATTTTATGGCTGCAATAGATAAATTCAAAAGCTAATGAACAAATTAGCTGAATATTCAAAGGGGAGAAAGGGTGAGACAGAAAGCAAGAAATGGAATGAAAATCCATAGTCTCGACAAGACAAAATAAGAAATGCAGATTGAGTAGTGATGGATTCCTAGTGGAAAGGGCCATCCACCTCAGGTTGGAAGTACGAGTCACCAAGGAGGATTCAAAATACCACTTTTAGCCCCCAGGGAGATAAGAACGGTAATTTTCAAGACAGTCAAGACAAAGAGTGAGAAAGACCAATAACACGCTATTCCATCCACCATTGAATGAAACACGTCTGAAGCAACAATGCAAAATGTTTAGTATGAGATTTGGTAACCGGAACAGCAGATAGGTACACCTCTTATTTTCTTTTTTGAGGGAATAGAAGCCTTTTCTTTGATGGGGTGAGGGGAGGTACCATTAAGGATAATAAAAGTGAATTAGAAATTAGTTTAAGCTATAGATAAAAAGATTTTGTGCAATAATCTGTAATTCCGAACCTCATCCTTCTCGGATTTAGAAAATTGAAAATGCTGGTCTTTCCTGCTATCCTGGGGCATTGTTATGACCGAGAGAATGCTGTTCCCCATGAGATCCACAGCCAAAGAGATGAACCAAGGAAACCACGATCGTGTTCCATATTTCCTTACCAGGAAGACATAAATAAGAGGCCTTAGGATGAACATAATCTCCCCGGTCACAAATAACCCTCCACGAGTACCTTTCTCAGATAAGAAGGTTGACAGACTGGGCTTTGTGATCACCTTAGCTGTAATAACATAAGGAAAGTTAACACATTAGAAAATAACTGTTTCACCAACAGAAGCAAAAGATTTTAATTCAGCTGAAACAAATAATTACTTGGAGGTTCCAGAATTGCTTGATGCTGTTGAACCCTGCGCAACCAAGTAGGCTCAGAAACCGTCCTAGCATTCTGACCGAAGTTACTTAAGGCGGACATTGCCCTACCTTCAAGATTCCATGAGTTCCAACCCTGAAGGTGATTGGCACCCGGTCCTTGATTCCGGATGGGCTTCGTTAAATGCCCCATGCTTTCTTGTGGACTCGAATCACCTGAATCTTCTAAGTTTTCAGTCTCCCCACCTTGCAAAAGCATTTTATATCCTGTATTTCTGAAAGCAGCCAGCCTAACACACACCCTGGCATCCATTGGAAGAGAAGTTGCAGTACAAATGTTTAATCATAAATTACCACTTGTAGGTGTTTGGATAATATTTGAGTTGAAGTTGAAATAAAGAGTATTTGAGGCTGAAGCTGGTAACTAAGTAGCGTGAAAGTTAAATATGTAACTTACTTGGCAGCCTCTGTAAGAACAATTAAATTCCATTTTTTGTCTTCACCATAGAGCTGCTCAGCTACTACTTCAATCAATGTTTCCAAGTCCCTCAGCAAAGTAAGGCATAATGACAAAGGGAGAAAAGAAGTCTCTGCAGAACTTGTACGCGCAGGGGTTGGAGCTGTCTCTATAATATGCTCATTTACGGTGGTAACCATTCCAAGGATCGAGGAGACTGCCAAAAAATAGGGCGCAATGAATAAACATAACCATGCGGAGTAGGAAAACTAACATAGCTAAACCACTACATCAATAAGTTACTTATTTACATTAAAATGGCGCCTACAAAAAAAAGGTTACAATGGGAACTAAAACATTATATGAAGCGACAAGATACTTAATATTCTTTGATTGGTTAAACTTGCAAAATTTTCACAAAATGACATCAGAAAGATTAACTGCCAGTATTTTTGTGCCTTGCTTCCTAAGAAGAGACGCATGGTGGAAGCTAATTAGAAATAGAAAAGGTATTATTCTGAGTTTTATAAGCAGCAAGAAGAGGCCCAATGTTACCAAAATTTCAAATAAACCTGCTTCTGGCCCAATTTCTGATGCAGCAAACCGCTCTGGAAGAAGCCATGTCATTCCCTGGTCGTACATTAGAAACCAGATTATCACCATCTACTAGATTTCATGCACTTGACAATCAAACGGTGCTAATGACAATAATGTAAGATCTTTTTTTTGATCAGTAGAAGTGAGTGACAACAATGAAACTTACATATACTACTGCAGGATCCAAAAAGAAAAAATGAAAATATTTTAGAAAGGGAGGCCCGCCAAATTTTGGCCATCTCCTTCGTTCTTCAATATTTTAAATCTACCGTAACTAATCAAGATCTAAGCTATGGTACAAAGTTCCATTACACCCAAAAACTTTAGAAAAGACAATAGTCTTTACAATCTTGGCTTACTCAATCCCAAACATAGGGGCAGCACAAATATGTGCTTTCGTTTTTTTAATGGATGGGTCAGCCGAGGGAAGGGGGGAGGACAGGTAGGATAAAGCAAAAGAAGAACCTATATAAGCAGTTAAATCAAAATTAACTTCAACACAGAAAAATTGCATAAAATTTCTTCAACAAACCCCCTAGTAATAGGCCTCACATGTTGGCAAGGTAACATATCCTTAACAGTTTGCTAGCAATACATGGTTAGAACCAGCTTCATTCCTCGAGCTGAATTAGAAAAGCTTCTAAGATAAGTCTGAGCGGAGATTTAAAACCAACACTTGGCGAAACAACACATTCTTATTCTGGATAAATTTTAAAAGAAATATGTAAACCCCAAAAGAAAAATTAAGGGAACAAACCTCCAACATAATACTCATAATAGATATATTGGCTTATTAAGAATATTCAACTATGCCTCAATCCCCAACTTGTAGGGGACTTGGAGCCGGCTCTATGTCCCTTCCATTCTATTCGGCCCCTCTCATTCCAATAATAAATAATCATTCATCATAAATTAGCTGTTTTTACACAGAGCAACCCACATCCCTAATCCAGATATAAACCAGCTATCTAGGATTCATACACCATAATCAGTTCCATTCTCGAAACTATCATCCCAAACTGAAGCAGAATCAAGAATAGTTCTCACACACAATTGCCAATAACAAAACAGCATCAACATGCAAGCTAGCAGAAGCCAAAAATATAACACAATTAATCAGGACAAAAACCAAGAGGTAAAAAGACACCTGTGCTAACAACAATAGAAATTAAAAAATAAAACCAATAAATGTTAAGAGTTTAAGAGGAGGGGCTTACACTGGCTAGAGAACTCAATTGGCGAACATAATCACGATTCCTTCTAACCCATCTCTTGTAAGCCTCCATAGAAGCAAAAAGTTTGAATCTTTACTCCAAAAACAGTGTCTTTTCTAGTAGCTCTTTTAGCAGCACTCAATTGGCAGAAAAAAGACCTACACCTGGAAATTTTTGAAGGTTTCAGATCAAACCCATATGGATAAAAAGCTGACGGAATTGCCCCTTCTTCTGAAATTCAGTATGCTTACGAAGGAGCCTGCACAGAAAACCGTCTCGAACGGATGAACAAGAGCTGGGCAGAAGAGAGAGAGAGTTGCGAGGAGGGGTGTCGTTTTGTTGAGTTATGATTTTATTTTGGGATTTTTAACTACCTATATCATATATCAAATTTTATTACCCTCGATATTTAAGGTTTGTGTTTATTACATTTAAGCATACTAAATTACCATTTTTATACCATAATTCAAATTAGGGATATAATTAAGGGTTCATTTATATTAGGCATAATAATAGGACTTTATCTTCCCACTTTCTCTTTCCTTTCATCTCAACTGTTCACAACATACACACAACGCACGATGCTCCTATGCTTCCTCTCGTTGATCATCCCCAACTGCCCACCACCGTCGAAGAATATCATATTTTCAGATTCACAAGAAAATTTTAAATTCTTTGATCGAACCGCTTGAATTCCCACTGGAAATAATAATGGCAGAGAGTTCGAAATTCTTTGACCTCTTTTTTTTGGGGGCAGTGGTTGAAGGTTACTGGTTAACACAGTCGATTGAAACTCGAAGAAGAAGATGAAGAAGACATATTTCCAGAATTTGTAGATATTTTGTAGTCAAATTAGAAAAATTGTAGATAAATTGTAGACTGTTTTTTGCAGAAGATTTTGTAGAAGCTTTAGTCGTTTTGGATTTATGAAAACAGAAAATAATGCATCTACATCAGAATACAAATAATCTACAATTTATCTACAAGATATCTACAAAATAGATACATTGAATTTTAATATCCAAATTCTCATTTCAATTGTAGCATAATTGGCATTTTCGACATAATTGTAGAAGATTTGTAGAAGTTTTAGTCTTCCCAATCTACAATT